CCCCCCCCCCCCCCCCCCCCCTCTCCCTCCACACACACACACTGCACACATATGAGCTAGATAAAGGAAAAAGTTTCAGGTGTATGCTGAAATTAATACCTATTTGCAAGCAAGTTATCCTGTAATGCATCTTACGTAATTACCGTTTCCTTTGTTTTGCAGCAAATTTTGCAGAAAACACCTGTAAGAGTTCTCCATCGTCGAAGTTCATTAGTGCGTGAGAAAATTATCCATTGGTATGAACATTTCCAATCAACAAACGGCACCTCTCTTGCTCGCCATTTTGATTCAAGACTTTTCCATTTAATGATGCCTAATATTTCAGGATGAAAATTGAAAGGATAGCTGGAAGTTCTCAGTATTTCCTATTGCACCTGTGTACTCAGGTCAAGTATTTTACTATTTTTGTATCGTGGTGCAACCTGTAAATTACTTGCCTTTTGATGCACTACTATGCTTTCTTAGATCCCACTATCCCAGTCTTGAAATGTATTAGATGATGCTAAAATTTACAAGTGAAAAAGATTGCACATTTTTTTTTTCCCAATGTGGGTAGGAGAGTGTTTTGGTGTTTGAAGTTGCAAATGACATGGGTCATAGCATTGTCGATAAAATTGTTTGTAAATCTATATTTTGATAAATCTCTTCCTTGTTGCTGGAACTTGTACTCGACAACTCTAATCTGGCTAGTCGGAACCGGTTTTTCTTGAGCCTAACAGACCCATATTTTCAAGGACTGGGGGACCAGGAAGGCTCCATGTCGCTCCATGTTTTCTGAATTTTATTGAAAACCTAAGATTCTCTCTTTTTGAATCTTGGGGTGACTGTTCATATTGACGACTGTTTCTTGACCAGGCTGGAACATACATCAAGGAATTTGTTCACGGGGATCTTGGACGCACACATCCTAGGTATGAAATCGTGATTTCCATCAACTTCTCCATACAGACAGGCACATTACACAATAAGATTTACGGGCCCAATTCTTGTTTTCATCTATGGATTTTCTTTGCTTTATGGTTTCATTTATTTTTTTGGTTTAATAAAAGATATCCTGAAACCTATATAGTTTGTCGAAAGTTGGTTTTGCTTTGATGATGGCTTTCAAATTTTCTGACCGTATTTTGGTCAAAAATGTTTTAGACATCCCGAGCAACTTCACTAATCTAGCCTTTCTGTTCTAGCCTTTTGTTTCCTGTTTTCGGTGTGGACCAAAGCAATTTGCAATGTCCTTTAGCCCCTCCATGATTTCAAGAGTCTTCACTAATCTAGCCTTTCTGTTCTAGCCTTTTGTTTCCTGTTTTCGGTGTGGACCAAAGCAATTTGCAATGTCCTTTAGCCCCTCCATGATTTCAAGAGTCTTTTTTTTGAACTCATTTCATTCACATTCTCACAATAAAATATTTTGCATATAAATCCCAAACTTTTTCCTATTTTAAAATCATACATTCTTCAAAAATTCACTATTCCAAAACTCTTTTTCATTGAATAATGGTACACGAGCAGGCGCTTAAACATATTTCTGAATTCTGGCCTTCTCACATTCTTTTTTATGTATTGTAGTATTGGTTCGATTTTGGGATGCAGAGCAGAGATATTGCAACTTGATGTGACAGATGTGAAGATGGATTCCTTCCAGAGTTAAACGAGTCCACTCCCTGCTGGGACGGGCTTCAACTCGGTTTCTGGCTGGGTGATCATTCTGTCTTGAGACGAAGACCATGTTTCCATTCTTTTTTGAGTTGAGGAGTTGTTTTCCTATTAAAATTGAATCTATTATGCTTAACATCTCACCCTTGATTGTACAAGGTTTGTCAGTTTTCCCCTTGGAGGTGGTTTGACAAAAGAACATGTACGAAAAGAGAGTACTTCGTTAATTTAATTATCACATCACTATGTTTTGACTTTGTTAATTATTCAAAATGGTTGGTTTTCAACTGTTACAATAAAAAAAAGAAGTCACAAGAGAGGATGACGTGACATCAAGTCATCATGTCCTTTATTCCCTAGGTGGCACGTTATACAATGGTCGGGACGAAGAGTCACGATCCATTTGTCAAAAAAATCCGTATCCTTATTGGAGTGATCGAAGCAGTGCTTAAAATAACCATGGTTAGAATATAACTCGTATCAAGAGACTTTTTGTAGGAGCAAACTCAATCCATTGAGAGACAATGTTCAATGTGCAGATAAAATGAATGCTATAGGAAATGCTTTTAGTATAAAACTATAAAATAATAATATACAAATGAATCAAAAGTCAGCAAATATTTATGTTTTTAATAATTGGAACAACTTTTCATAGTAAAAAATCTCAGCTTTACGATGATTAAAGAGTTCAAATACCATTAAGTCGTAAGCAACTAGTCTCGTAAGTATTCGTTAACACTAATAGATCTAGGGCGTGTTCGGTAGAGATTAAAATCGGATTAAAATTGAAAAATTAACCGTTATTGTTGACTTTTATTGGACGAGTGAGACCCAATAACGACTATATTTTCAATTTTAATTTAATTTTAATCACTCCCGAATATGCTCCTAGCTGTATGATGTACGGACTGCTTATTAATATCTCGACATTCATCAACTTGAACTTGTTTTACATATTCAGGTTTCACGTTATCAAACAATTCATTTTTTTTAATAAAAATAGTTCATCAACGAAAAGAGAGTACTTCGTTAATTATTTAATTATCACATCACTATGTTTTGACTTTGTTAATTATTCGAAATGGTTGGTTTTCAACTGTTACAATAAAAAAAAGAAGTCACAAGAGAGGATGACGTGACGTCAAGTCAAGTCATCAAGTCCTTTATTCCCTGGGTGGCACGTTATACAATGGTCGGGACGAAGAGTCACAATCCATTTGTCAAAAAAATCCGTATCCTTATTGGAGTGATCGAAGCAGTGCTTAAAATAACCACGGTTAGAATATAACTCGTATCAAGAGACTTTTTGTAGGAGCAAACTCAATCCATTGAGAGACCATGTTCAATGTGCAGATAAAATGAATGCTATAGGAAATGCTTTTAGTATAAGACTATAAAATAATAATATACAAATGAATCAAAAGTCAGCAAATATTTATGTTTTTAATAATTGGAACAACTTTTCATAGTAAAAAATCTCAGCTTTACGATGATTAAAGAGTTCAAATACAATGAAGTCGTGAGCAACTAGTCTCGTAAGTATTCGTTAACACTAATAGATCTAGGGCGTGTTCGATAGAGATTAAAACCGGATTAAAATTGAAAAATTAGTTGTTATTGTTGACTTTTATTGGACGAGTGAGACACAATAACGGCTATATTTTCAAATTTAATTTAATTTTAATCACTCCCGAACATGCTCCTAGTTGTATGATGTACTGCTTATTAATATCTCGACATTCAAACTCATTAACTTGAACTTGTTTTACATATTCAGGTTTCACTTTATCAAACAATTCATTTTTTTTTTAATAAAAATAGTTCATCGATTACACGTGCCATGTCAATTATGTTAGTGTCGTTGGGCAGTAAATTAATAGCAATATTTAAAAGGTTGCCCTAACATTAACAACTATACTAAAATCAAACGTAAGCGAGACCAACTTTGGTCTTTTATTTATGAGCATTTACATTTTAATTCAATTTGCACCAAACGCCCGCCCTGTCAAAATGCATTATAATTCAATTTTTCAATAATCTCTTTGAGTATTAAAAAATTTCTGTCACACTAATTAAAGTCTTACCAAACTTTAGTGTTCGTTATTTAATTATTTGATATTATTCGGCTATGAGCTTTTATTTCAATTTATGTGAAGACCCATCAAAAAGTAGAATTCGTCGTGCCTTAAAGTTATTGTATGAATCAAATCTAAACATGTAACTTCCGGTTTTTATAAAATTTAATTTTCATTTGGATACAAATTTATAAACGAGTCAGATATTAATTATTACTTATTATTATCAACATATTTTGTGAAATCTAATGCTATCACTCTTCGTAAAGCATTTGTAAATTTGCCGGACGGAAGATTAAATGTGCCTCAATGAAAATTTAGAAATCGAGAGAGATGGTGACCAATAGTCTTGAGGTAAAAGTCGAAGGAGAAAATTGAGGCTTTGAAAGTTCAATATCGTTTGTTATTTTAATAGGATTCATAACTTATAAGTAATTAAAAGATCCCAAAACATGCTTGCAAACAACGTATTGAGGTGTTGTTTGACAACTTTTTTGAGATTATAAGTTAATCAAACCTTATTTTTAATTACACATTTTATTGAATCGACAACTTTTATATATATATTTTTATCATACACTACCAACTTATAATTCAAAAAGCTTTTTGCCTCCCGGGGCATAACTCAATGGTGCAAAGGACATGAGTGAGATAGTCTCAACTGAGATGGCTGTCGCAGTGTGAGGATTCGATTCATGTCTCTTACATGAAATGTGACTTTTTGTGGACACCAGTATGACAGATCTTGTATCCTGACCCGATGAGGTACATTCCACGATTTATTTCCTCCATAATGCTTTAGGGACGGAACGGTGGGGGGCGCTCGAGGATGGGTTTCAACCTTTAAAAAGCTTTTTCAAACACAGGCTTAAGCAGTTAAATAAATTAATTTATAACAAGAATTAATTGAATCCTGAACACAAACACAGAGAAAGAGAGACTATTTCCAGTCGTCTACGGCGCGAAAAATTGTCGGAGAGGCGGAGAACAAGCGGCCACCACCATGTGACGGTGGGGCCACCGTGCTCTGCGTCATACCAACTTTTATTACAACAATCACTGTACAAAAGCTGCCCCATTGCTCAGATGCCAAATAATATATTGAATTCAATTACTACCAATCTATTCTCACTCAGCTTTATATATCCACTTTCACTTTATTTTCCCCACTTTTCTTCCCTTTCAATCATAGCATCTCCTCACACGCTTTTCATCATACCGTTGAAGCACTGAACTTGGACAATTACGCTTCAATTTTTCAGAGTATTGAGTGGTTTTTGTGTGTGCGATCATTTTAGGATGGCTAGTAGCGCGATTTCATCGGAGGATGAGTACGAAGAGTTACATTCTCGGCGATTTGATGACAGTTATAGTTTGAGCGCCGACGTCAGCGAGTCGGAGAGCTCGTCTTCGAGTACAAGCACTTTTTCTTCGGATCCTCGGTTGGCTTCGACTACGGTGACGTCTTCTCCGCTTGAATTGACTTCAAATTCTGCGTTTCTGGCAGCTCCGCGGGTAATGTTGCCGGTAGTTGGAGGCAGACACGTCATTCTTCCGGCGTCAAAGTCGGAGAGAGATAAACCCAATGGACTTGAATTATCCGGTGAGTTATTAGTCCCTTCGTCTCAATTTGAAAGTATTTTACTCCGAGTTATTTAGGTTTACAAGTCCATTAACTTTCTTAGTATATTGCAATTTTTACGGGGTACACATTTCTCTCCAAAGATTAAAATAATGTGAAATCGTGAATTTTGAGTTGACCATAACTCGTGGCGTTCGCGATCCTGGTGGATGATTCGGTAGGATGGGTAGATTGTGTACCTATTCTATATTGCCCGTTGTTCATTGTGATTTGCTTCAATGTAATGAGATTATTGTTTGACTTCAAAAAATGACACTTTGATAAACAGTTTACAAATAGAGTACGTGATTATCAGCTAACACATTATTTATTACAAGGACCAAATGATGATTTCTTATGTTTTCATCCCTTTTTAGAGGGAACATCTCTGAAATATTAAACCATCACAGGCAAATAGTTCGAAAATATATAACAGAAACCATATTTTAGTAAGGCAATGATTTTCTGTGAACAAAGGCAATGATGAAATAGATATTCTGACTTTGTTTGTTGCCTTGTTCAATAAAAAATGAATCAAAGATTTTTCTTTTACAAAACAATGGAAAGACTAGATTTTTATTTTCCTGTTTTAAGTACCACTTTTAATGACGAGGGTGTTGAGTTGAAAGTCAAGCATTCTCATATTCCTTACTGCTGCTAAGCCTGAGTGATTTGTCAGTTTAATTTTTCTAATATTTTTATTTTGTATTTTTCCTTTCTGATTCCTATATTTCCTTCTGGACATTACTTGTGCGATTGCAGAAACTGAATTGATGAAGGAAAGGTTTTCTAAGCTGTTGCTAGGAGAAGATATGTCAGGCGGAGGGAGGGGAGTATGCACGGCTCTGGCAATCTCCAATGCGATTACTAATCTTGCTGGTTTTTCACTCTCTTTTCTTTCTTATTTTTGTTCATATTCTAGTTAGACCAATAATATTTCTGTCTAATAATTACACTTATTAACTTCTACTTCAAATTTACAGCTACTGTGTTTGGGGAGCTCTGGAAGTTGGAGCCCTTATCCCCACAGAAAAAGTCGATGTGGATACGAGAGATGGATTGGCTTTTATGTGTGAGTGATTCCATTGTGGAGCTCATTCCATCAGTGCAAGAATTTCCAGGTGGCGGGACCTTCGAGGTTATGATGTCTCAACAACGATCTGATTTATATGTGAATCTTCCAGCCCTCAAGAAATTAGACGCAATGCTAATAAGCATCTTGGATGGGTTTTGTGACACTGAGTTTTACTATGTTGAGCGCGGGATAGGTGTTGCTGATGGGGAACACATTGAAGCAAGTTCCCAATTCTCACGGAGGCCTTCCATATCTCATGAAGAAAAATGGTGGCTGCCTTTCCCAAAGGTCCCGCTGAATGGTTTGTCTGAGGAAACAAGAAAGAGACTGCAACAATGCAGGGAGTGTACAAATCAAATTTTCAAAGCTGCAGTTGCAATTAACAGCAGTGTGCTGTCAGAGATGGAAGTACCACAAGTTTATTTGGAGAGCTTGCCCAAGGTAAGAGTTCTCTGTACTGCTCTCCAAAGTCCAAATGTGATTAACCAATATCAAAATTGATATTTGATGTATTTCAAGTTTCAACCTTTTCCAGTGTCAAACTTAGATCCTGACATACATCAAACCTCAATGGTTTTATGCCTTTTATTTGGGATATCATTATCATGATCATGTTGTCCTGCCTTGGGTATCTTACAAACATGATAAAAGGAAAGAAGCTAAATTGAATATAGATAAATTCCCAAGACTGATTGGCGCAAGTCTGCCTGAATGATAGTGTGTTGGTATTAAGACTTGAGGTTCCATTTAAAGGGCTAACCTTCTCAAGGGAAGTAGCTCAAATCCTTATACATTGCTTAATGCATTTAAATCTAAGCGACGTGCGATTTATCCCTCAATGTATCCCTATAAGATGAGGCTTATTTGTGAACACCAATCTTGGAATTTGTTTGCTTGTTTGAGTCTTAATTGGATCAAATTGCTCATTTGAGCTTAATTGGCTCTGACTTGGGATTCTATCTTCAAAAGTCAACATTGTTATGAGGAGTAGCCTAAGTCTTAATATGGTTAATTCGTTTTATTTAAAAGATGTGGGATTTATCCTTAAGAGTTGAAAACCGAAAAAACCTTGTTCTGCTTGATGGGATTAATTTTCTAAATTTCTAGCCCTTCAGTAGAATTATATCAACTTCCACAAAACATGGACAAAGATTCATGCTTTATTTATTAATCTGCCACTGGGCTTAATCTATCACCAGAAATAATTGAAGAATCCTTGTGTGAATGTCTAGGATGAATTTGCTCAAATCTACTTTTGCTTGTTTGATTCTACAAAACCGGTTCCCTACCATGCTTGTGAGGATTTTCTTGAGCTGAAAAGTCTAACAATCTGTACTTCTGAGTCAATCTGTCACTCTGCTTTCAAGTTTATGCAAAAACAAAAAAGAAGTTAGCACAACAACATGTGTCCTCTGTTTTATCTCACTCATATCATTTTAGTTGCTCACATTCTGTCAATCCTGTTTTCATCTGGAACTCTGTTGGGATTTCACACAACAAAGGTGGTTGCGAATTTGATTTCTTTATCAATCAACCTTCTCACTACGTGTAGAACTACATTCATGCTGAGCCATGTGGTTTATAGAAAATGAGACATTTTCTCTTAGGTCATGTATTACTTTCTAGTTCATGGCTAGTGCTTTATTGTCCATGCAGATCGTATTTTGGTTTACTTCTCATCATTTCAATTTTTATGGTGTGTGTTTTTATGTATCTGTGTTTCTTATTCTTCAGAGTGAGAAGGCTTGCTTGGGTGACATCCTCCACCGTTATATAACTGCTGACCAATTCTCTCCTGACTATCTTCTTGATTACCTGGATCTTTCGTCAGAATATACCACTCTGGAAATAGCAAATAGGATTGAGAGTGCTGTACATTTTTGGAGGTTGAAATGTCAAAAGAAGAAATTGAACCGTGCAAAAACTGGGTCATGGAGTGGAACAGTGAAGGGCCTTGGTGGTGATATTGAAAAGAGTAAACTGTTTGCAAATCGAGCTGACACCCTCCTAACTAACTTAAAGTTGTACTTTCCTGGCCTCCCACAAACTGCTTTGGATACGAACAAGATTCAGTTCAACAAGGTATGATTGAAAATTTCTACTTTATTTTTCTGTATTTTACTGGGGCCTGCTTGGAGTTGAGCATGTGAACTCCTAAGTTTAATATCCTCAATATTTTCTAGAGCAACACCTCCAGAAGCTCGTAGGAAGACACTGATTGAGTTGGGGAATAAAAACATACTGGCAGTAAAATACCCTGTGCTCTATCTTGAAGGCGAACAAGTTCCTTTTTGAGACCAAAACATTTTATATGGAATTTAAATTCCTTAACATCTGCATCAAGCATTTTGAGAGTCTTTTGTAATGTATCTGATATCCTGCCATAATAGGTATCTATTGAAAATTCTTATACTCTTAAACCACATCTGAATTAATTCATTTCAATTCCTGATTTAAATCCTTTGCTGGATTTCGAAATCAACACACGTGTAATGCATTAATTTCAAAATTTATCCTTGAATCAAAATGTGCCATTATTATACATTTCTTTGCTAAAACTATCTTAATTGCCACTAATTTTATAAAGTGATGGTCTGGGTTGGCTAATCTTTAAGTGGCACTCAGTCCATTTGCTGAACTTGGTAATCTAGATATCTGCCTATTGACATTACTTGGTAAAGATGATGAAACCATGTGGCAAAATATCTTGAAGCAACAAAGTAAAGCCAAAATTTTTGACTAGATAGTAAATTGCTACAATTATTTTGTCTGATAGTAACACTAACTTAAGAGTCACATTATGTGGAGAAATCATGTAAAATACAAGGAATTTTCACGCGTAAAAGTTATTCTTAGCTCCCTTTCTTTCCTACCACCACTCTTTGGCTGCCAGAAATTAGAGAATTTGAAGATAGAAATAAAAATCATTCTTGAAGTGCAAATGTATGGGTTTGTACCCGCTGCATAATCATTTCAAATTTTATATTTTGTTTACAGATGCTGCCCTAATATTTTAGTTGAATCTATTATGTTAATTCTGCCTTTTAAGTTTCCAACGGCTCTCTTGTTATAAGAAGATTACTGCATTTTCATGTAGGATGTTGGGCAGTCAATCCTTGAAAGCTACTCCAGGGTGATGGAAAGCTTAGCCTTCAACTTAATGGCTAGGATTGATGATCTTCTATGTGTTGATGATGCCACAAGACGACGACGTATAGCATCAGGGGGAATATCTATACTCAGCCGGAGGGGATCTACCGGTTCTCATGCTTTCCAGAAGCAAAAATTTGTCCAAGGCCATTCACGATCCAAAACTCTCGTTCACCATTAAGATTGTAAGTCCACTCCTGATCCAGTAGGTAATCCCACTTTTAGCGACCTGCCGAAGAAAAGTGAAAAATATCACTCTCCTATGCAAGGAAAGAGTGCAGTACAATGCCGGATGTAGATTCCATGGCCGTTGAAACTTAACGTGCTATGCTATATTTGTTGGGATAGAGGAGTTATCAGAATTTATCAGTAGTAAGCACAATTTGCATACGCCCTTATAATATTAAAACAGCATAGAAATAGTTCAAAGTAATAGTTTTATGGCAGAGGTCGACGCAATAATCTTCATGTGCTAGTGTAGTTTCTACTCTGTTGGTAGGAGACAATGTAACACCAATTGCGCAAGTTGAAGTTTTATAATGAGTTGATGACTGATTCAGCTGTGTTAATCATGTATTGTACGTGAATTCCTTTGTACTTTTTCTTGTCTCTTACCAATTTTACTTGAGATCACAAATTTTTCTGGATTTGGATTTCTCTAGGAAACTTTTTTGAGACGTCAACTCAAGCTATTTTTCATTATTTGCAGCAGCATATTAATTTCTGCACTGTATTGTTAAAGAGTGGCATCACTGGAACTGCACAGTTCATTCTGTTAGCAGCAAAAATCAACTAGCACCCGATCTGACCATAATTCAGGCCCAAATATTAACGAATTCGAACAATTTAAGATTTTAAATGAGATGCTTTATGTAATATATAACTTGTATGTGAAGAGGCACGTTGATGAGCGATGAAAAACAATAACAAATGATACTCTTGTATAAGTAATTCAAGGATTAGTACATGGCTTGGAGGCCTAATTTCCTTGTGATCGATTCAATGTTGTTTCAAGAATTGAAATGGAATAAAATCGATTTAAAAAAAGATAAGAAAAATTATCTACGTACAGCACCAGAATGGTAACAATGTACAGGAACAAGCCAATATATTGCAGTGCCAAGATTTGATAGTGGACGACAAAAAAAGAAAACTTATCGATTCATAACTTTGAATATCATCAAGACCATTGTGTAAGACATTATTTATGTAAGCATTTGCACATTCTCGAGAATATGTTTGATAATTGCATTGGTATTTTATCTTTATTTGGCGATGTAAATTGTGGTTTGTGTTGCTATAGTACTCGAAATAGTAATAAAGTCACCCATGATTTGACATTGTTTGGTGATGAAATTACACATACATCTGGAATTAGATTTCCAATTTCATAAATAAAATCACAAGTATAACATTTCAAAAATCAGGTTTTAATTAAAATTTTAAAAACATTTTTTTTATATAAATTATATCTAATCAAACCCTAATATAATAGGAAGAAACAGCCAATCTCTCTCCCATTTTTACCCTCTCTCACAGTCTCTCCACCCTCTGCACCCAACGTCTGTCCACTCGGCGCCGTCCGTCCACCCATTGCCGCCTCCACCCAATGCCGCCTCAACCCCTCTCTCTCTCAGCTTTTGAGGCAGATCCATTTCTACCCTCTCTCACGGTGTCTCCACTCTCTGCGCCAATCGCCGCCTCCACGGCTCCACCCATCACCGTCTCTCCACTCTCTTCCGCCGCTCGTGATGGACTGATGTTGGTAACATGTGGTGGAGGCGCATGCTTGCGGCGGTGGTGCGTGCAAATCTGTGTTTGTGTGTGTGTGCGGTGCGTGCATATTTTTTTTTTCTGTTCTGATCGTCTGTGATTTCCTGTGTGAGTGCGCTGCTGCTGCAGTATACATTGTGCTAGTTGAGGTTTGAGAGATTTAAGGCCAATTTTTGTTGTTGGCTATGGCGGATCTGGCGGCGATTTTGTTGTTGTTCCGTGTTTTGGTGTAGTTGGTGTTTTTGGGATGGTCGAAATCGCCCACTGATAATTTCCATTTTGGTGTTAAGTCTCTAGTTGTTGTTGTTGGTAGTGGCGTCAGTGGTTCTTTGTTTTTATGGTGTTGGTAGTGGCATCAGTGGTCCATTTGGTGTAGTTTGGCTACTGGGCGGTAACGGTGGTCGTGCCGCTTATGGAGGCAGTGGCGAAGTGGGGTCACAAATGATTTGGGGTGGTCACAAATGATTAGGTTGTTTGTGATCAAGAATTTGGGTAGTTTGCGACCAGTAAACAATATGAGATGAGTTGAGGGTGGGTGTCTGTGACTTTGAAATTGTGACTGCGACTTACTGTAATAGAGTTGTGACCAACAAAAATTTTGATTTTTTCAATCAGTGACCTATAAAAAATTTTAATTCGTGGCGGAGAAATAATCTGTGACCATAAAATTCGGTGGTCACAAATGTAAAATTCGGTGGTCACAATATAAATTTTGTGATTGTAACCAATAAACAATTTGTGACCAATGAATTCAATAAATTGTGACCCGCACAAGTTGGGTGACCTAAGAAATACTAATTTGTGACCAATAAATTGAGGTTTGTGACCATAAATTAAGTAACGTAACTTTTAAATTTTATNAAATTGATTTAATAATTATTATTTTATAAGTAAAAATTTAAAGAAATTTGATTTTTGAAATTTGAAACTTATTTCTGTATTTTTGAAATGGGTGAAAGTAAATACCTAATTTATGTATTGTTCCCTTGTTTGGTACTCTAGTTCAAGACACTTTTGGTCGAATTGTTTTCTCCATTTTATTTATTAACGGTCCGTTTTGATTTAAGTTAATATAAATTTCACTTTTACACTCTAAAAAAATGTATTAAATATTCTTTCTATTACATATAATATCTTAAGTGGCCATCTAAAAATAAATTGCAATCCCTCATTAACTAAATAATCCAATATCAAAAGAAATAATTAGCATTAAAAAGAATAACTCAGCCCCCGTTTGGTTCAACTAAAAAAGCTTATTAAAATCTAAATCTAAATCAATAATTAATTTTAAAAATATATTTTATGAGACTCGCAACTTTTCAACCATATATTTCATCAATTTTTATCAAAATCTACTACAAATCTGATTTTTATCTAAATCAAATAGGAGCTCAATATTAATGTCTAAACGAATGTTGAGTACGTGAAAACTAACATTGAACCATTTTCATTTAAACTTTGATTTGTTAAAAAAAGAATAAAGAAAATACGCATTTAAATATTATCCACAACATGGTTCTTTACAAGCCATCAAATTCATTTTTCTTCAAAAACTCACACACACACACACAACTTTAATAAAATAATGAAGGATGTTGGCAGGGGTGAAGCCAGGAATATTGTCCAGTGCGTAACTAAATAGAATAACGTACTCATTTAAACTAGCAACTTGTCTTTTAAAGTCGTGGTTTGTCTTCACTTCGAGAGCAGAGATTCTAGGGTCTTGGGATTGTCGACCGCAGGACTACAGGTGAAGTTTTGGCACACGAGCCACAACCTTGTCAGCAGCAAAGTTGTTTTTAGCCATTAGAGCAACATTTCCATTAGTCTCCTCCCAAAATCCCTTTTCTTCATCATCGCTCGGATCTATGTGGATCACCTGCACTCAACTGTACCGAATTCGAGTAAATGAGTCTGATGATAGGAATAGAATGAAAGTGAAAGGGGTAATGTGTGTGAGAAAGTACTCAACTGTTCGATTAAGATCATATGATGCATGTGCAGTGGCTAACATGCTGTCAAATTCTGCAAAACACTTGCGTCCAACCAAGACTACTTGTTTGTGGGAAGGCACAACGAGCATATCTGCAGCACCAGTTAAGCCCAAAACGAGTAAATTGAAAGCAAAATCAAGTAACAGAAAGCAAAATCTACACTCAAATCTCTTCATTTCCCTTATGCCCAATTTAAATTAATTGAAAGCAAAATCAAGTTACTGAAGGCAAAATCAAATGCCCAAATCAACCCAAGAAGTAAAATCAAACAAAATCTACTCTCAATTTTATCTACCCTCAACTGCACTAATTACTATCAAGTTAAGCCCAAATCTGACTCCATATATTCACATTACTCAAACGCACATAATAACAAGCATTTGGCAGACTGACTCCCACTCAATTAATATCAAAATCACGAATTTGAAACATTGAACATATCAAAATAACAAATAAAAAGAAAAGAAAATAAGTACTCCGTACTCGCTCCTTTCAGTTACAGAAATTGGATTTCAGTGAAGGCATGGAAGGCGAGAGACGAGAGGTCGAGATATGAGAGACCTTCTTCACCTTCTTCTTCTGTCGATGGAAGGCGTCGAGGCGAGAGACTCAGAAATAAGAGCTAGCTGTTGAGAGAAATCAAGTCCCAGATTCTGTGGTTTCAGCCTTCAGGTTTGGATTTGTCGATTTGTGATCTCCTTCACTGCTGGGAGATGATATTGGATTAAATGGATTTGGATTTGGTCCGATTATATTTTTGGAAACAAACAATACATGAACCACATTTTTAACTATCACAATTTCAAAATTAAGGATAGTTGTTTTAAATTTCAAAAATCAGGTTTTCATTAAAATTTAATTATAAATTAATTAATTAATTATATATTTTATTAATAAATATATAAATGTCACAAATCTATACAATTTGATCACAATTCAACAATTTTAAGATAACAATTCAAAAAATTTATAAGTCACAGTTCATTCATCGGTTACAAATTAAAAATTTAAAAGTCACAATTTTTTAATCGATCACAAATTATAAAATTTATAAGTCACATAACTTATTTTATGGTTACAGGACATCAAATTATACGTCACATATTACTTTTATTGGTCACAAATTAATACATTTGTAGGTTACATAGTATTTATTTATCACAATTTATTCTTTATTGATCACACACCAACCAATTTATTGACCACAATCAACAAATCATTTGTGATCACCACCAACACAATATACTGTCGTCTTCGCCGCCACTACCACCAATCCACAGTCATCGCCACCATCATCTCCATCATAGCCACACACCTACCATCTCCTCTATCTTCATTTCAACCACACCGCAACCACCAACCCCCCTAAAAAATCCCTAAATCATGATGTCACAACTTATTTCTAAATCACAAA